CCGAGCCTGTACTTGTGCTTAGGTATTAAGATACTTTAGATTAATTGACAATTACATATTTATATTTTGGTATACTATGAGTGCTGCAACCAAATGGAACAGCAGTTTATAAATTCTTTACTAATATATAAATGTGAAAAAATATCAGACAAGTTTAATAGGTGTTTGTCCTGAAATAGGGATAAAAATACATCTTTATTTCTGTGCTATTTTTTTTCAGCCTTGTAATCCGTGGTGAAAAGGATGAAAAAGCAGTGTTGTGCAGCAAAGATAAAACTTACGACATGAAAATAGCAGATACCTCAAATATGCTGCTGTTTATTCCTGGTTGCAAAACGCCAGAACAGCTGAATGCAGATCAAGCATCTTGTAATATTATTCATTCACAGGTATGTCTTTATGGGTTTTTGTTTGTTTGCTTTAATTCTCTACTATTTATTCTTTATGATTTCTTCTGTTTTAACCAAGATGCATATATGAGGCCCAGCTGGGGTTCAGTTGCCTAAACAAAGGCTCCTAATGCCCTTTTAGATGCCCTGTGGTATTGGTCACTGCAGAAGAATGAGTCTCCTGTAGGCTACTCGTATACTGAACAACCCCTCCTGGGATGTCTTTATAAATTTGCTTTATACACAGGGGGCACCCTGTATCTTCGGGTGTCCAAAATGGCTCTAGGGCCCTTCTTTAGGCAACTGAACTTTATCAATAATGTATGATAATTATTGTTCTAAGAAATTAAAACTTTGGTTTATTTTCAGAGGATATTAATTACTTGTGGTAGGTATCAAAAACTTTCAAAGAAAATCTCATTTCTTAGTCTTAGCAGCTATTTTTAAAATAAGCTGTTTGCACATTGATTCGTAGGAGTGCTTTCCTCCGAACAGCAGATTATACCGTGTCATGCCTGAGTGTTATTTTCTTAAACACAGAAATGCATTCACAGGTGACTCTTAACCAGCATTTGGAAAGATTTGTTGGAGTGAATAATTTGAGAGTTCTCAGTTTAAAGAATACATTGATGTCTGTTCTTCTGAATCATAGTTAATAAAATTCTACTAAAAATAGTTAGGCAGATATTATTCCTAGGTCATTATTTGCTGTAATGGTTATAATGACATCATTGAGGAGTAATCCTGCTTTTCCTTAAATGAATATAATAACCAGAACAACATTATTTCTTCCATGAATTCAGCAGTTCAGCTAATAGAAAAAGGAAATTCAAACCGAAGTAGATTAATGAGAAAGCAAAAAAAGAATATGGAAGACTATTACTATGTTTAATGATCTCACTAGTCCTCTGAGGTCACACATGTCAACATAATAAAGATGGTGATGTGTGAGCTGGCACAGGCAGGATGCAGGAACAACTACAAAACCATGGATGAAATGCAAAGAATAAAGTTATTTTTGTTACCTTGCCAACTGGGGGGATCCCCAAAGCAGCACCTGGGCAGAGGCACACAAGCAGGGAAGCAGGCACAACAGAGCTCAGTTGATGCTGGAAGATCCTCTGTGGGTAGAGGGGAGCAGGCTGCAGCATGGCGGTCAGGTAGCTGTGGCACGGCGCCTTGGCCAGGGCCACCACACTGGCAATGTGTGCCAGGCAGACACCAGGCTTGGCCATCTGCTCGACGCAAATCCACGGGAGTCTGTTGAAGAGCAGGCTTTGCCGCAGCTGGAAGGCCTGGCTGGCGTCAGGGTTATCTCCCAAACAGCAGGAGAGGCATTCTTGCAGCTCGGTGAGCAGCTCACACATCCTCTCCAGCTGTCCATCTGGGCACCAAAATCAGCTTATTTGAGGCGCTTCATATGCAGCACCAGGCTGGCAGCGTGGGTAGGGCTCCGCCGTGACCCTCCATGGCTGCAGGGCACAGCCTGTCTCACCATGGTCTGCACCACGGGCTGCTGGGGAGTCTGCAGTGGTGCCTGGAGCACCTTCTCCCCCTCCTTCTCCACTGACCTTGGTGTCTCCAGAGTTGTTTCTCTTGCACATTCTCACTCCTCTCTTCTGACTGCTGCTGCACAGTCATTTTTCCCTTTCTTAACCACATTATCCCAGAGGCACTACTGCCATCACTGATGGGCTTGGCAACATTGCCATGCAAACCCAATATCTGTGATTTCCTTAGCAATTACTCTTATAGTTGTGTTTCTAAGAGCTTCCTTAATGTTTTTAAAAATGTTTCCTGGTGTATTTGCTGGTTTTGGCTGGAATACAGTTAGTTTTCTTCACAGCAGCTGGCATGGGGCTGTGTTTTGGATTTGTGCAGAAAACAGTGTTGATAACACAGAGTTGTTTTTGTCACTGCTGAGCAGTGCTTACACAGAGTCAAGGCCTTTTCTGCTCCTCACGCCACCCCACCAGCGAGGAGGCTGGAGGTGCACAAGAATTTGTGAGGGGGCACAGCTGGGACAGCTGATCCCAACTGTCCAGTGGGATATCCCACATCATATGATGTGCTCAGCATATAGAGCTGGGGGAAGGAGAAGGAAGGGGGGGATGTCCAGATTTACGACATTTGTCTTCACAAGTAACCGTTACGTGTGATGGCGCCCTGTTTTCCTGGAAATGGCTGAACGCCTGCCCATGGGAAGCGGTGAATGAATTCCTTGTTTTGCTTTGCCTATTAAACTGTCTTCGTCTGCACCCATGAGTTTTCTCACTTCTAACTCTTTGATTCTCTCCCCCGTCCCACTGGGGATGCAGCCTGTGTGGTGCTGAGTGGCTCGAGTGAGCAGCTGCGTGGTGCTTAGTTGCCAGCTGGGGTTAAACCATGACAGATATTGACACCGCAAATTGTGAAACAGAGCAAAAAAGACACTAGGTTTACACAGTATTTTGGGCCTTCACTGCCCATCTCCTGAAGTCTTGATGCTGCTCTTTGTACCACTTGTGAGGCTAATACGGTCAAAGCATCTGCCATTTTATTCACCTCACACAGACCAGCTCCAGTTATGAGCTTTGGATTATAAACTAGAATTATTTATTTTCTTTTCTATGCAGAGTACCTTCTTGTCATTACCAAATTGCTCAGAAAAGAACTTGGCAGGGAAAAAAGCTAACACTTAGGTAAATGCTATATGACAAAATAGCAGGAGGGAAAAAAAGCTTAGAAGCTTGTCAGGAAATCAGTATTTATCTGAATTTTCTGCCAAGTAAGCTATGGAATAGTTAGATTAAAAACTGAGAGCATTCTCTGTATTAGAATTTGGATAGGACTTCTACATATAGGCATATCATGGTTTAGCCTCAGATGGCAGCTCAACAGCAGGCTGGTATGCCCTCCACCCCCAGGTGAGAATCAGGAAAAAACTAGTGGGTTGAGGTAAAAACAATTTAATAGGACAGAAGGGAGAGGAAAGAATTATAAGACTGGTAAAAGAATATACACAACCAAGTGATGCACAACACAATTGCTCACCACCTGGTGATTAATAGTCTGTCCCCAAGCAGCCATCCTCCCTTGGCCAACTCCCCTCAGCTTATATACTGAGCATGATGCTTTATGGCATGAAATAGTCCCCTGGTCAGTTTGGGTCAGCTCTCCTGGCTGTGTCTTCTCCCAGCTTCTTGTAGAGAAGCAGCTGGGGCAGTACGAGAAACTGAAAACATCCTTGGCTTAATGTAAACATTGCTTAGCAACAACTGAAACATCAGTGTTATCAAGATTCTTCTCAGCACAAATCCAAATCATAGCCCCACACTAACTGCTATGAAGAAAATTAACTATGTCAGCCAAAACAAGCACAAGGTGGTTTGCTTATAGTTGATTTAAATGGAACATTATTTTAAAGTTTAGGGGGTTTTAATGGATGACCTTAAAAAAAGAAAAGTAGTCTGGTAGAGCATTTAGGGTATTTTAAAGTACTATCTGGAGGCTTTTTTACAAGGGGCTAGTGGTTGAGTCAGGAGTCACAAACCTGGAGCCTGATCTGCCTCTGCCATTCTGTACCCACTTCTGTTGATTTGGTAAATAGCAGAAAAAATACTGAAAGACCCTTGATACTCTGGCCACTTCAAAGAATCTTCTAGGAAGTCCAAGCTGTACCCCACAAAACACTTCAGGATTACTCTGAAGGTAAAATTTTATTAGATTAGTGCTGTTGAATCATTGAGTATCCTGTTGCATGCTTTACATTTGTGTGTTGAATCGGAGTGAAGTCTGGCTGCTGGCCGGTCACAAGTGGTGTCCTGCAGGGCTCAGTCTTGAGGCTGGTCTTATTTAACATACTTATCAGTGATCTGGATGAGGGGATTGAGTGCTCTCTCAGTAAGTTTGCAGATGACACCAAGTTGGGTGGAAGTGTTGATCTGCTGGAGGGTAGGAACGCTCTGCAGAGGGATCTGGACAGGCTGGATCAATGGGCTGAGGCTAATTGTATGAGGTTAAATAAGGCCAAGTGCCGAGTCCTGCATTTAGGTCACAACAACCCCAGGCAGCACTACAGGCTTGGGGACAAGTGGCTGGAAAGCTGTCAGGCAGAAAAGGACCTGGTGGTGTTGGTCAACATCTGGCTGAATGTGAGCTGGCAGTGTGCCCAGGTGGCCAAGAAGGCCAATGCCATCCTGGCCTGCATCAGGAACAGTGTGGTCAGCAGGAGCAGGGAAGTGATTGTGCCCCTGTACTTGGCACTGCTGAGGCCACACCACGAGTACTGTGTTCAGTTTTGGGCCCCTCACTGCAAGAAAGACACTGAGGTGCTGGAGTGTGTCCAGAGAAGGGCAACAAAGCTGAGGAAGGGTCTGGAGAATAAGTCTTCTGAGGAGTGGCTGAGGGAACTGGGGCTGTTTAGCCTAAAGAAGAGGAGGCTGAGGGGAGGGAGACCTGATCTCTCTCTACAGCTACCTGAAAGGAGGTTGTAGGGAGGCAGGTGCTGGCCTGTTCTCCCAGGTAACTGGTGATAGGACAAGAGGAAATGGCCTCAAGTTGCGTCAGGGGAAGTTTAGATTAGATATTAGGAAAACCTTCTTCACTGAAAGAGTGGCCAGGCATTGGAACAGGCTGCCCAGGGAAGTGGTGGAGTCACCATCCCTGAAGGTGTTCAAGGAGCATGTAGACCTGGCATGTAGACCTTTTCCAACCTTAATGATTCTGTGAATCAGAGCAAGGATCAGAGATGTCTTGTTAGTTGTGTGCAGGCGTAGCTTACTGTCTTGTTAATGTCTGTTTTACTTAAGCTTAGTGATATGATGATTCATTAAGGTGTAAAAAGACCACAAAGTAGCTCCCAAGCACAGGAAGAAGTGAGGAAGATGGATACTCAATAATACAGAAGGCGCTTTCTGGCAGTAGTATAACTTAATTCTAAGAGGAAAAGAAATGTTGATGAGGATTGTGCAGGAATATGTATGATATTCTATTGTTTGCATGTAGAGATGAGTTGTTCCCTTTGTCGTGCACTATGAACATATTCTTATCAACCAACAGCGGATTTGCCCGTGGTAAATTTTTTATTTGAAAATATTATGATTGTTTCATCTTTAAAGTAATTACCCTATCAATAAATTCTTGTTCTCAGTGACTACATTGGTACTTGGTGCTGGTAATTTTTGCTAAGATTCTCTGAATCCAAATGGTAGATTAAAGTGTTTTAAGAGTCACTGTTTTTTCTTGTAGATCGCTGGCTTTTCCAATAACTACTGGGAATTAAGGAGATGCCGACCTAAACTGAAGAAACTGAGGAAGCTTTTAATGGAAGATCCATATGAAGGGCCAGACAGTTGGAAAGATCAGACTTCAACACTTCCAAAGGTAAATCAGCTATGTAAATAACTTTCTTATAATTGGTAACGGGCAAATTAAAGGGAAGATACATTCTTAACTAGAAAAATGCCTTTGCTCCTATGTTTCATAGTGCTGCTCTGAGTTAAATTTTTAAGCCTACTATTCTAAACAAATTGGTAATTATTAGCACTTTCACTGAGTAGCAGGTAAGCAACTTTTTTTTTAGGAAAAAGAGGAAAAGGAAGGACCCTGAAGGACACTGGGGATTTCCCTTTTTACGTGGGGAGTTTCTTGAAGAGAGTCTTCAGAACCTTTTGTTAATTCCTTGAGAGTTATATGACTGCTAAGGTGTTGTTGGCCTTTCCTCCTCCTTTGGGGCCGTCATGTATAACATGTCATGTATGAGCTAAACGTAGGGTCCCAGGACACCCGCATACAAGTCAGTTACCAATCAGTAATTTACACGGAGTAGCAGGGAGTTGCAGAGAATGATGAGGATGATAAAAGGCAGAGAATAAGACTGACAGTAGAAGAAGGGAAAACACAAATAAAGTCCTGCCCTGCTGCCCTTTTATGTTTCCAGGTGCACTGGTTTTGGTTAAAATCCAATTTATGATCTAATTAGTAAGGGAGAGACCTGGGCTGTACAGCATGTGATCTTAGATAAAAGGCTCGCAAAAATCCTGGAGTTCTGTTAGTTTGGTTGGTTTTCCTTTTGACTTTAAGAACAGAAATGGTTGCTCCCAAGTATTTCACACTGAGGCTCAGTTGAAGCTGATGCTAACAATCTGTGTGTGATTCCATGTACAAACATAGATGTTACTTTTCTCCCTTGGAGAGAAATGCTGCCTCTCTTGGATCATTAACAGTCCAGTTTCTGATAAGTTTCAGAATCTTTCCCCCAGCATTGCCTTTTCCCCCTTTTATTTTCCTACCTACTCTGGTCTAGTCATAAAAGGACATAGCAGCAAAATAAGGGATGGCAGAGGGAAAAGGGCTTAAATTGTCCAGAAGTTCTAAGCATTGCCAAAGGGTAGCAACACAAAAAGATGTCATATGCAATAGTATTTACTGAAACTGATTAAATTAATTTTATAAATACATGTCAATGTCTCTCCAGACATTAGTGCCTAGTTTGAGGACTGATTTGTTTTGAAGGAGAATGTTTCGTGTATAGGCTTAGTGGAGAACAACTAGATATATCTGATAAATATAGACATATCTTAGCTATGCTGCTGGTGGAACTTTAATCTGAAAGGTCTCCATGGGGAAGCTCTCTTTCCTATGGGACTAATTCTCACTAGAATCCCAAACAATACATGTGTAGTAAAAATTGTTGCTGTGTTGTTTGCTTACACTTAATATTTATTGGGTACCGGCAACAAATAAGCTATCTTTAACCTGTTATCAAACAAATTGCTATGTTTTGGCAGCTTACTGTAAACTTCTCATGGTTTTCAGTCGTTTGTACTGTTATCATACACAGACAACTCCAGAAAACCTTAAGGAGCTGTAGCACTATAAGGAATTACTGTAAGGAAGCTTGATGCATAGTGTTGTGATTTAGCAAACTATGGGAAAACTTAGAAACAGGCTAATATACAGCTTGCTCAGGATGCACCAAATTAAAATGCCAGTCTTATAGTGAGATGGCAAGGCATAGTCAAAGGACTGAATGTGTCTGAGTTAATGTATTTAATGTTTCTTATCCTTGTCTGGTAATTGCTGCTATGGACATGATTCAAGTCAACCCATTCCATTTGCAAGGGTGATGCAGCTGATAAAAGCATCACAGCTGAGAGCAGTGATTTCTTAAAAAAGCTGTTGGAGTGCTAGGCAGGCCTCAGAGGGGGCACAGATATCAAGGAGTCCGTGCAGGGTCTTGTCTGAATGGCAGTATCTAACTCTCAAACACACTAGCATACTGATCAGGGGATATATTTGCTCTAAGTCGATACCGGTGTTTTTTAAAGTACTGTGTAATATGGTCATCTTTTGCTGAAATACTGATGTGAGTTCAGTGCTACTTAGCCTGGTGATGTTTCAACATAGTAATAGAAATGGCATAGCAGTAAGAGGAGACTTCTCTGTATTCGTTAAGTGCTTTTTTAACATGTGGATGTTCCAAACTTAGTGTTGGTTTGTTACGTTTGTGTTCCCAGAGTCTAATAGATCTCAAGTACTTAATCCAGTTGTTTTCTGATAGGAAATATTCTTATGCTATTATCAACAAAACTTTAATACTAGAGTTGATTAAAAAGGCTGTAAGGTGAATAAAGGAATCAATTAATCCTTATTTCCTATGGTTTTAAGTCTGGTGTTCTTTCCCTTTACTTCACTCCTCATGATACCTTCTGTTCCTCGCATGCCTCCTACATCTTTACCCCAGTCTCCACAGCACTGTCCCATCTCACCAGGTAACTGTTCTGCAAGAAGCTGTATGTACTGCGCCGTGTCCGTGCTACATGTCTGCTATTTGGTTAGCAGGCACCAAAACACAACACAACTGCTGAGGTCACGCTGGAGGAGGCTTTCCCTCAGTGGAGGTATTAAGCTGGAGTTCTGAGCTGTGGCTTATCCAGAAGTGAGAAGTGATTTTTGTTTTGCCTTCTCTTTGAATCTCACAGATCAAAATATGTGATTTAGGAAAGCAGAACCCATTCACTTTTTGTTCTTGCTGTGATACTTTTGTTATGATGCCTACTTGTGTTAGTTTGGCATCCTGGGAATACAGATACATTACTTATGCATGACACAAAGACTTCCCTGTAGTTAGACTGGGTTTTGTAGGAAATAGCGCTTTGAGATAATGTTGTAAGTTACAGGAAAAGTTTCAAAGAGTGTGGCAATCCTTAGAAAATTCATCCTGGGGAAGAAACCGTCAGTTTTCTAAGTTATTCTTTCATTATAACTTATAATGCATTTAGCATGCTTGCTGAAGCAGAGGTGGAGTAAGGATAACCTGCTTAATTTCCTTCTTTTTTTCCCTTGTTGCAGTATACAACAGAAGATTTGTTAAGTCTGATTCAAGCAAGCGAAGAAGAAATACTGCACCAATTGCAGGTTATAAATGCTTGCAAAATTGAAGGTATGCATCGTTAAAGAATATTAGTGCCTATGAGGAAATAACCCTACTTTTTTCCCCTAAAATATCTGTGTCCTTTTTCTAAGGCCCATTCTTTCAAGGTGCAAGTAACTTCGAAGTACCACAATCTGCTTCCATATTTACTCTATCCTCTGCTGCTATGCAGCTGATCAAAAAGATAAAAGTGAGCAGTCATGGACCAGTCTGGCTTTTTCCAGGGTTATTCCTTCTTTACTTCTCAAATACTGGCATCAGGGTATCCCACCCATAGCACGGATATTTTTTGGCTGGTTGTTCTCTTCATGGATGAGTGGGTACTGCTTTCTGCAGTTCTAGAGCCAGAAATAGCTCATCCCTAGGTAACCCCAGCCCTTCCGTAGTCTGTCCTTTCTCCCAGACCGGGTTTATCTCAGAAGTCTTCCTACCATGTGAGGCAAGGCTGGAGCAAGTGCCTTACCCTGGGATGGGCCCTACTCATCCTGTACTTGGCCAAGCCCAAGGCCTCACCTTCATGCCAGGTGACAGCAGTCCTAGAGTCATAGAATAAATACGAGACAGAAGTGCTCTCTGGAGGTGATCAGATCCAAACCCCTGCTTTAGAACAGGGCCATATTGGAGCTGGTTGCTCAGGGCCTTGGCTGGTTGAGTTCTGAGTATTTCCCGGGATGGAGGTTGCACAGCCTCTGCCCAGCCTGGTCTAGTGTTTGACTCTCCGTAAGGAGAAAAAAATTCTAACACTCAGTTGGGATTTCCCTTGTTGCAACTTGTGCTTGTTGCCTGCTGTCCCGTCCTTGGGAAGAGTTCTGCTCCATCTTCTCTGTACTGTTCCATTAGGTAGATGAGGACAATCTCACAGATGGCGTTCCTTGTAATTTACAGCTGCACAGCACTGTTGTACCACATCTGTGCTTTGTCACATCTGGATTTCGGTGAAAATTGGCTGGACCTGAACTGCCACTTTGCAGGGCCAGTGCAGGCAGTTCTCTTGATGCAGTTCTATGCCTGAATTAATTACTACTTTTTTCCAGGCCTGATTCATTTTGGGATGGGATTTGTAGTGTCTTTGTATCTGTGGTACTTGTTCTACATAAACAGTTATGAATAACTGAGATGATTTAATTTCTTTCTCCATTACATTTGCTCTTAGTATTCTGTTCTTTTTCAGTTTGAGTCCTGAAAAAGACAGAATGCCATTGCTGTGCTTTGTAAAGGTGTGACCTAAATGCCCAGATTCCTGTGATGTATTTTCAGGGAAACAGAACTAAGGTATTTTCCTTCTAACGCTGTTTTGTGGTTTTCTCCTTGGCAGGATATTGGAGAATTCTAGGATTTGACTATGAGATGAAACTCTTGAATCATGTGACTCAGCTAATAGACTCAGAGTCCTGGTCTTTAAGTAAGGTTCCTTTACGTACCTGCCTTGAGGAACTGGGATCTCTAGAGCCCACGTAAGCAATTACTTTTAGTACTTAAAATTGTCTACAGTCATTATTAACTACTAGTAACTGCAACCGTTATTAATTATTTCTTAGAATTATAGTCTCATAACTCTAGATTCCAGTTACCATGGTGTTAATGGTATATTTTCTTTGGCACTAAAATATACAAGGGCATTAGTAATTTAGACAGACAAGTTAGTAAACTGATTTTAGTGTCTATTGGTAATATTTCCATTGATTCAGTAGCAGAAACATTACTGCTGAATTATAAAAGAAGGCAGTAGCATATACTTACTTAAGCTGTAAATTACTGACCATCTTGAAATACTTGTTCTGAAGCTAAGCCAAAAATCTTTTGTTTACCTCTTGTGTAAAGTCTGAGATGGTGGTGTATTTTCTGGTATAATACTGAATTCACATCTTAAGATTTGCATTTATTGTACTGCCATTTGAAGTCACAGAATAATTTAAGAATACCATTCAAACAAAGTTTCAGTTTATAATATGTAGCATTTATTTGGCTTTTGGCTGAAAAAGATGTTTTGCTTTAGACACATCAGTGTCTGCAGCGAGGCTATAATTTTATGGCAGAGGTTTAGAAAAATGCCTGCTCTTCAGTAAGGCATAATTAACTGCCACATTGGTGATTTGCATCCCTTCTGATTGGAAAGAGGTGACATCGCAAGAGTGTCTCTTCCTTATTATCCTTACACCTGCTACTTATAGCTGGAAAGTGGAATAGACTTCTAGGGATGACTTAGTGAATTAACTCCCTCTGTCCTTTTTGTCCCTTTTTGCTCTCTTTCAACTTACTTCTAGTTTTTATCAATTTGTTCATTTCAGCCAAGAAGATGTGTCCCATCCTCCATTGTCCTTGATTTTTTTCCATTAACTGTTCCTTCATTATCTTCTTGGTAACTCTTTCTGTAATGTCCTAATGAACAGTTTTAAACCTTGATTTGTGATTGTTTTTCAGAGAGATGATAGAACATATTCTTTTAAGCTATGGAAGGAAATACATGGATGATGGTAAGCTGGGGACAGCATGCGTATTTTAATTTTGCGTAAAGGAAATAGTTATTCGTGAGTAAATGCAGATTTTGTGGGGACAGCCCAAACGAATTTGCTACAACGCCAGTAAAAGGAGGGAGGGAGCAAACAGGGAGCTAAAAATTGTTAGAGAAAGTTTCATAGGATAAAGGACTGTTCAACTGTACAAGACACTAGGGAAAAAATGGGAACCATCAGAAGTACCTGAAGTGATTTATTGGGCATCTACAAGCCATAATTTTGTGCCTAAGGTCAGATCACTAGTAAAATTTAGATGGACTCTCTTTTTAGATACCCGAGGAGGTCTCAGGTATTTAAGCAATTATTGTGCTATTGTGAGTAGTCAGTAGCATGTAGATCACCGTGAATTCAGCTTTCCTGACGTAGATGTCTGCCTCTGGTCCCTTGAACTGCACCACAAGATCCATTGATTGTATTGATCAAATCTCCGTTGCCCATCTCGCATATGGACATGACATTTCAGTGCCTTACTCTCAATCTGAATTCTTCCCCACAGTTGCTTTCATCTCACCTTTGGCTGAAGCAGGAGTTGCACTCAACCCTAAAGTGCACAGGAAGGTAGTTGTAGTGACACAGAATGTTGTCTTAATGTATTTAGGCAGGTTGACAAGGAACAAGTTTGAATTGCAGGAAGTCCAGATGACTGGAAAAGTGGAAGGAAGTGTTTATGCCTGACGTTGTTCAGATAATTTTAGCCAAGTCATTGTGAAAGAAAATAGTTTCTCATTATTCCCTTCATCATCTCATATTATAAGGATGATTAAGGAAGTGAAAGTTTTGTTTGATTGTTCAACTGCAGACAGCAAACATGTTAATACAAGCCTTTCATTTCTGAAATAGGAATGAAAGATGTAGGAGAAACAGTGTTACTGTTAAAGGGGAAAAGCTGGGAGGCAAATACACTTAGTGGTATGAATGAATACTGTAGCTTGGACAGTGCTGCACACACACCTAATATTCTGCTTAATTTGTTCTTGAGAATGAGAAGATACCATCGTTTATCCAAAGTAATACCAAGTCAGGTTACTCCCTGAGGAAAAAAAAAACCCAAGATGCTTGGTTTGTAGAAGGCTGTAGAATGGCATGGAAATACTGTTCTCTGTTCTCTTATCAAAAAGCAAGACTCCAAGATAACCTGTTTTTTGTTTCTCAGCAGGGGAGGTTTACTTTGAAATGCATGAAGATAAAATATGCAGAGCTATAGCACAAATGCTTTTGCAAAATGCAGTTAAATTCAATCTGTCTGAGTTTCAAGAAGTCTGGCAACAAAGTGTCCCTGAAGGGATGACAACCAGGCTTGATCAGCTTAAGGTAAAAACATAACCTGTGGATTCTTTAGTGAGTAGGCTGCTAACTGACTTGTGTCGTACGTAGATTTTTAATGATTAAGGGGCATTGATTGTGCTGTTTCTGTTAGCTTTTGAGTTGAAGTACCTCTTACACATCTTCTATGAGCATCAGTAGTCTGGAATCATAACAATTCAGGTTTCTGCGAGTCTGGCATGTTTCACCGTTTGATGAAAAGTTGCAGCTGCACAGTTAATACTTGTAACTAGAACAGAAGCTGAAATTGTTGTGGAGCAGAGTGTAGTGACATCTAGTGGAGTAGCAAGCACTGTGGAAATAGTGTTTCCATTATTCCACCAGCAGAGAGATGCTGGAATGCAAAGGATTCCCTCTCCCTTCTTGTCATAAAGGAAATGATAAATATTGAGTGTAAAACAGCGCCTTTGTCAATTTGCCCCTAGTAGTGCAGTGTTGTGGTTTAAGTCCGGCTAGGAAAAT